ATATTTTTTTGGAGTTTCGGTGAATTTAAATTTATCTTTTATTGGGTTTCTATCGTACTTTACTCTACTACATATGTCGCAGTTATTGATATACTTTTGAATAAGAAGTTTAAGATTTGGGAAATATATATGACGTTTTAAACTCTCGTAATTTTCTAAAATTCCTGCATGTCCAGTTTCTAGTCTATGGTATTTATTTATTTGTTTATAAGCTTCTCCTTCTGTCGTTTGCATGGAATGAACATTTTACGAACCTAATTGTAGCAATGTCACTAAATAGATGTTTTATTTTTTGTTGCAAAATATTATATTGATAGTCAGGTAGATCTGTATAAATTCCTACTTTACCTGGTTTTATGTATCTTCTTAAAATGTCAGATAAATTATTTTCTTATGAGTTAGTATAATTAAAGTCTTGTGAGTTAATATAAATTTTCCTATTGTTATGTACTGTTTCTGTTTCCCTAATTTTTTCATTTGTTAAAATAATTTGTGTGTTGAATCTGTTTACAACTGTCTCTAGTATTGGTATGTGGTCGTTAAGGTCTTCTTCCTGAGAGTGTATTGTCTCATTTTCGTCAAAGTTGTTATGTAATGAATTTGTGTCATCGTCACCCACCCTTTCTGGGTCGATCGTCTCGATCGCATTAATTTCATGAGTTTCGTTGTTTATTCTGCTGAGAAAATTAGCCACTTTATTTTCTTTACCCTTTATATAGCCGATATTAATGTTATATTCTCCTAGTTTGAGTAGCCAACGATACAGTCTTGGATTGACGTCCCCACCTTGTGTTTTAGAGTGTAACCACTTAAATGGTTGATGGTCAGTTAATAAGTCAAATTTAACACCGTAAAGGTAAGGTCTAAAGTAATTAGTCGACCGCACAATTGCTAATAGTCCTGTTTCAGTTGCTGAGTATTTCCTCTCATGTTCATTGAAGGCCCTACTAGCGAAACACACTGGCTGGCTATCCTGTTGGAGAACAGCACCAATAGCATTTTGGCTGGCATCTGTTACAAGTTTAAATTAGCCAGACATACCTAAAAACGATTTAATTTGTTTTTGAGTCACCGGTAATTTCAATTTACGGATATCCTCAATTTTCTTTAAATTTGGTCTAACTCCCTCGGGTGTTAGAATATGGCCCAAATATTCGGTTTCCTTAGAGAAGAAATTACATTTATCGAATTGAATCTTCAGATTAAATTCCCGTAATTTATTGAAAATTAATTTTGTACTGTAAATATGCTCTGCTAGAGTCGTACTGAAAATTAAAATATCCTCGAGATAGACGACACATATTTTGTTTATAAAATCTCGAAGAATATGGTTCATTAGGCGCTGAAAAGTTGCTGGTGAATTTTTCAGGCCGAAGGGCATCCTTATATACTCATAGTGCCCCTGAGGAGTAGAAAAGGCTGTTTTTTTTCTATCTTCCCCCTTTACTAGAATTTGATGGAAACCTTTGGCAAGGTTTAGGGTAGTAAAGCAAGGTTAGGGTAGTAAAGCTCTTCCAAATTTGTCTAGTATAGTCTCGATGTTGGGAATGGGGAATTTGTCGTCAACCGTCACTTCGTTCAGTTTACGGTAGTCGATCACAATTCTCCATTTTTTCTGTCCTGAATTGTCCGTCTTTTTCGGTACAATCCATAAAGGACTGTTGTAAGATGAATTGCTCTCTTTTATTATTCCTTGTTTGAGCATGTCGGATATTTGTTTCGATATTTCCTGTTCGTGAATCTGAGGGTACCTATATATTTTAGAATATATCAGTCTGTCAATAGTGGTTATAATTTGGTGTTGAATTTCTGTGGTACTAGTTAAATGATCCCCCTCTTTAAAGAACAGATCTCTATAATTATTTAATAATTTATTTAAATGAGTTTTTTCTTCAGAGTTTAGAGATTTAGTCAATATTTCAAAGTCGTTACTGTTTATACTACTATAATCTAATTGGTGAATTTCATTTTCATTATATGGACAACTATTTAAAAATTTAATTTTTCTATTATTTATTTGTAAAACGTAATTTTCCATGTTGATTATGACTTTCAGAGGCCTAAGAAGATTCTGATCTATTATACCATCAAAATCCTTATTATCAAATTTAATTAACTTCCAAATCATTTCTGCGTCTTCATAATTCTAGACTTGTTTTTATTTCTTGATTTACATATATAGTTTTATTTATCGTGTTAAAAGGGATAGGTTTCTTAATATTATACCTTTTATATCTAGGAAGTTTATTATAATCTAAGAGAGTAGTTGAAGAACCAGTGTCTATTAAACATCTGATTTTTTCGTTTCCAACTGTTAATTTTACTATCGGTAGATTCAATTTTGGCGAACCGTAAGAAAATTTATCTCACCTTCAATATGATCAACTTCCATAGGTTCTGGTCTATTACTACTTGTTCTGTAATTATGATTATTTAGTCTGGTCTGTCCGGAATTATTATAATTATTATGATTGGTATTATAGTTATTATGGTTTAGTCTAGACCGTCCAGAATTGCTTGGGTAATTTTGATATTGGATATTGTTTTGAGAATTAAAATTACTAAATTCGTTTTTCGAATTTTTATTGTTATCATATTTTGTAAAATGATTTAATTTATTTCGGTTATTAAAGTGATTATCGGGGATCTGGGCAACGATCAACAGGGTAGGCTCTGACTGGTTGCTAACCCAGAGTTGTAACTGTTGAATTCGTAGCCAAGTGCTTGCAGTACCTCCCCGTCGGTGGTCCCTGTAAACTAAATACTCGACACCCGTTGTTTATTTAGGCTAAAACTGCAAGGGCGTAACGTCGAAGGCCAGCCTAGCAAGCTACTGGAGACTTTAAATCTATTGCTCATAGTACAATAAATACAGCCTCGGATAAAAATATGGATGACTTAACTGGTAAAGACTTGGAAAGGAAAAGGATAAAACGATTTTGGAAAAGAAATATACTAAGATTTGCATGCTGGAACATAACATCTTTCAACAATAAAGACCAGGAACTCCTCATGGAAATGGAAAATCATAAGATCGATTTCTGTTCCATTTCAGAAACAAAGAAAAAAGGCAAAGGCACTATAAAGTACAAAAATTATTTGCTCGTCTACAGCGGTAAAGAGAAACACCAACGCGCTAAATCAGGAGTAGGATTGCTTCTAAATAATAAATTCATACCTCACATTGAAAACATAAATTATATTAACGATCGCTTACTAGTAGTAACTTTTAAATTTAATAATAAAATTTTGCACATAGTAAACACGTACGCACCAGATATCAGCAAACCAAAAGAAGAAGCAGAAAGGTTCTACGATCAGCTACAGTCAGAAATCGATAAACTCCCCCCTAGTGATAAAATACTAATATCAGGTGACATGAACGCTAGAATAGGTAATAACGTAATAAGTGGCATCAAGCAGCGCTTCAATGAAAATATTTTAAATGAAAATGGCGAGATGCTCGTTGACTTTTGTGCCAGAAATGAATTTCGGATTAATAACACCTTTTTCCGTCATAAACCTCAACACAAATTCACGTGGTGTAATACCAGAGGGCACAAATCAACAATAGATTACTTTATTACTAATAGGAGTTTTCATCCAACACAAATACTGGATGTGAGATCTCTTGCTTCTGGGAACGTTGGTTCGGATCATTCTCTTGTACTGTGTAAAATAAGAATGGTAGCGAATCTGGAAAAACAAAAAAAACCTCTATATATAGAAAAAATAAACATTGAATCAATCTCAGAACCCTCTTCTAAATATTTATATGAAAAACGATTAGAGGAAAAAATTGACAACAACTCTATCGGGGATCAAGACGATGTTAATCAAGCTTGGAAGAAAATAGAAAGTAATATACAAGCTGCAGCAAATGAAGCACTTGGTAAGAGGAAAATCAATGTAAACTCGAAAGGGAATGATAAACCATGGTTTTGTGAAGAAGTGAAAGCACTAGCAAAAGAAAAACGTGAATTCTATTTAAAATACAGAAGTACAAGATCGCGATTGGCATTCCGTCTCTATGTACAAGTTAGAAACCGTGTCAACAAAGAAATAAGAAAAATTAAGACAGAGTATTGGATAAAATTCACGAAGGACATGGAATATGATATGTACAGTGGTCAGAAAAAAATATGGAACTTTCTAAGAAATAGAAAAAAGCCAATAAATGACTATGTAAGCATTCCTTCTATAAAAATCTGCGATTGGGCCTCCCACTTTAAAACACTATATGAAAACACTGACATGGAAGCAACAGAACATCGCAATTTTATATTCACAAATGAACCAACTTTTTATGTAACTGATCAAATTGTAGAGGAAAACATAAAGTTACTGAAAAACGGAAAATCACCCGGTGAGGATGGAATCTTAAATGAATATTTAAAATATGGAGGTAAGAAGCTATTCTCCGAAATTTCAAAATTATTTAATATAATATTGGAAAAGCAATCGGTGCCAACAGATTGGAAACATAGCATCACAATACCAATCCATAAAAAGGGCAACAAAAATGAGCCTAGGAACTACAGAGGCATAACTTTGTTAAGTGTAGTATTAAAATTACTGACAAAAATTATTAACAAAGAGATACAGACATCTGTAGTATTTAGCGAAGAACAGAATGGCTTTAGAAAAAATAGATCAACTGTAGATGCCATATTCATTTTACGTCAACTGGTAGAAAAATCAATCGAGTTCGACAAACCCTTATTTATGTGCTTCGTGGACATGACACAAGCCTTCGACAGAGTTCAACTTAAAGATTCAATACAAATATTACAAGAAAGTAATGTACATAAAAATATAATAAGTTTGGTCCAAGATTTGTACACAAATAACAAAACCAGGATAAAACAAAAAAATGAACTGTCCCAATTATACATGCAACCAGCGGTATCCGGCAAGGAGATAGTCTTAGTCCAACCCTGTTCAATTTGGTAATGGATAAAATAATAAGGGCAACTATCCAAAATGGGAAAGGATACAGGATGGCCGACCATGAAATTTGCATAATATGTTATGCAGATGATGCGGTATTATTAGCTGAAAACGAAAATGACCTTCAAAGAATGTTGTTCACATTTAACACAGTTGCCGGACAATACAATATGAAAATATCCACCGAAAAAACGAAATCAATGACTATATCGAAGGAACCAATTAGGTGCAAATTAGTAGTCAACAACAAAACGATAGAACAAGTCAATCGTTTCAAATACCTCGGTGTCGATATTACTGATTCCCGGCAAATTGAAACAGAGGTTAGTTTGCAGACCGCTAAAGCGGCAGCCATCTCTGGGAACTTACGCGATGTCATTTGGAAAAATAAATACATGTTAATAGACAATAAAGTCCGAATTTACAAGACCTGCGTTCGACCAATAATGACATATGCAGTAGAAACCAGGGCCGATACCGCGAAGACAGAGCAAATACTCCGAAGAACAGAAATGAAAACTCTTAGGCAAATATGTGGATATACGTTAAGAGATAAAATACGAAACGAAGACATAAGATCTACTTGCGAAATACAAGATGTTGTTCGGTGGACTAGATGTAGAAGGAGGAACTGGAGAGATCATGTAAATAGGATGTCAGAAAACAGAATCGCAAAGATTGCAATGAATAACAGGCCGAGCACCAGAAGACCAGTAGGAAGACCACCTAAAAGATGGAACGAATGCTGGACCTCTTCATCACAAGACCAAGAAAATTAAGGCTGCATTTATATGAAAAACAGGCTAGTAGCCTAAAACACGAAGAAGAAGAAGAAGAAGAAAGTGATTATCATATTTAGTAATGTTATTACTATTTTTATCTCGAAAAAGATTTAAATTTACTAGGGTATTATAAACTTCCCTAAGATTTTCTATATTTTTATTTATAATTACTGAAGTTATATTTGTATCAATATTATTCAAGAAGGATTTTAAGATTACAGATTCATTTATTTTTGGATTAAATTCTTGAGGTTTTCTACTATCAAATTCGAATTTTTCAGAAGTAAATTCTGCCCTGTTGTTGTTAACACTATTATTATTATTAACATTATTATTATTATTTAATGCCATTTTTTTTGGTATCTCATAAATTAATGGTCTTTCACTTCTAGATTTTTGTTTTTCTTTTGGCATTAATTGTTTGTACTATTAAATTATGTTTATGTTTATACCAATTTTATTGGCTTTATTGAAAATATATACTTATGTATATTTTTTTTTTTTTTTTAATTTTCTTTTAAATGAATTACTGTTACACTTTTATATAAATTATGAATTGATTTTGCTTGGCTTAATTTTAACTTGCATTACAAATTTATTATTACATAATTTTTTTTTTTTTTTTGATTTAAACTTTAGTTCAAATTGAGTTTATAAATTTAAATTTATACGATTCGATCACTAAACTGTTTATCTTTAGACAACAGAATTACCGTTCTGCGCCAATTATATTTATTTTACTTTTCCGTAATAAAAAAAATAAAAATACCAAAAATTTAAATTTTAGTTTTACTTATTTATTTAACTTTACTTTAATCTTAGGACTAAGTTAGTTTATTTATTTATTTCAATTTACTTTAATCTTAGGACTAACAGTAAAACTGAACTTTTCTTTTTGAAAGCAAACTTAATAATTATTATTGATATAAAATGAATTTATTAACCTAAGGTACTTGGAAGCATAAAACTATTTAGTCAGCAGTAATTACTTTAAGTATGTTAATTTTATTTTTGTATGTAATTTGATATTTTAACTTTTATTTTAAAACAATTTTTTTTATGTGAAAGTAATTACTGTTGATTGTGAGTTTTTTTGGTATTATGCAAAAATATGAAAATAAGAATTATGAAATTTATGGGAAAGAATTTTTTTTTTATTATTTTGAGTTAATGGAAAATTTTGTTAAATTTTATAAAAGAAAGGCGACGGAAATTAGGTGTCGTCTTTCAAATTGACTTTATTTGAGTTTACTGACATAACTCGCGGTACAATTTAATTATTTACAGACGACGCCGCAGTGAAATATTCGAAGACTACTGAAATTGACTTCAAACTGGCTGTTTCAAAGACTTGGCTCGTATAAATGGGTGGTTAATAAAAAATAAGTTGTTATTAAATATCAGAAAAACCAAAACTTTACTTTTTGAAAACCGTATATTTGCAGATCTCACATTTGGTCGCAATGGATTGTTGATGGATGTTGTGAAAAGTCACAACTACCTCGGTCTTGTTCTGGTCAAGTGGGATATGCACGTTAACCATGTTTTCCAGAAAATTGTTCCTTACATCTTTGTTCTGGGAAGGCTAAGAAAGTTTTCGAATGAGAGTGTGTTATTCTCTGTATAGCATCTTATACGTTGTCATACATTGTACCTTAATCAGATTTGGAGTAGTCCCTGACTAGCGCCTTAAATTTATCTAATTTATTAATATTAAATTAATTTTCTAACTCATTGTAATTTCTATAAGCTATGTTGTATATAATATGTCTATTAAAATTGTCATAGAAATTTTCTTAAGTTTTCAGCCGTTCTTGTATTGTAACTATGACAGTTTTTATTTATTTATTTCTTTATTTATGTTTAGCTCAAACATTTTCCATAACTTAAAATTAAAGAATGAATATACAGATACATATTTCTTTAGACAGAACAAATTTTTGAGTTAAAAAATTAAATTTAAAAATTATACAAAATAAAACTTATTAGTAATAATATTCCATTAAATATGAATATAGACAATGAAAAGCTAAAAAAAGAATTTGTTAAAATAAAGCAAAGGGTTATGCTTAACTATAAGTAAATAGAAGCTTTTTCATCGTGTCTTTCCTCAGTGAAAAGTCAAGTCTGTGTTTGTGTTTGTTGCATAAACGCAGCATTCTGCTGATAGGCTCATGCTTCCCATAATTAGTCCTATGAAAAGGGACCATGAAAAGATCCGGGGAACGAGACCTAAGGTTGGAATTAAACACAATTTTATTTTAAATGTCGGGGTAGATTAAGTCAGTTTTCATAAGCTGAAAAATGAATAACAAATCCGCGACCTCACGTCTTTTACCCAGTGTGGGTAGGTCAATTAATTTGAGTCTGTGCTCGTAAAGTGGAAGAATGATGGGATCCTCCCAAGCAAGAAGGCGCGGTGTGAACCTCAAAAACTTTTTTTGAATAGACTCAATCCTGTTAATATGTATATCATAATAGAGTGACCATACTTGTGAAGTGTAGAGTGATTTTAAGACATAAGGATGGTAAGATATATCTATCCATGTTGTTATTTAGTATGATGTGTATTTGTGTTACCAACTTGTATTTAATGAAAAGATCCAGCGGCAAAACTTTGTGTTCTTTGTGCATATATTTCGTAGAAGTTCTGTGTTTGTAACCGAAAAGATTTTTTATTGTCTTTTGACTTTTGCTAAACATGTTTCCCCATATCTGAATGGAATAGATAATGGTACTGTGAAACATGCTATAATACAGTGACCTTTTCATTTGTACAGAAACTCTATTATTAATTAGAAACTAAAAACTTCAGTTGTTCTTCTCGTCTTCTTGATCTGTTCTTGTATTTGCATGTTACTCTGCTGTCCATTATTATTCACATTGTTCAAATATTTAAAGTTTGATTTAGTTTTTTTATTATTATATACTTAGTGTTTTTAGAATTAACTGTAAGTTTATGTTTCTGCATCCAGTCATTAATTATAATCAAATCTTCTTGAATTGCATTTTTTAATTGATTTAACGACTTGTGACTGTATACAATTGCGAGGTCATCGGGATACATGAAGCAATTTCCTATTAATTTTATATTTCCAAAACCACTCATGTAGCAGAGAAACACAGTTGGTCCAAGTGAACTACCCTATATCACCCCATATGCTACTTCAACGAATTAGAAATACTAAAGAAAGGAGTACCTTGTTTCTATCTCGCTTACACTCCCTAAAAAATCGTATCTCGAAAAAAAAAAAATTGCTGTTGTTTTTTTTCTTAAAAAATTATGCGCCATTATATAAAAAGTAAACAAAGAAGATTTTGCTAATTAATTTATAAAATTAGTGTTTTTGTTTTAAATTAAAATCACTTCGGATAACATTTTTCGATTTTTACCAGGACAAGATTTTGTTTTAAGCAAAATGAGTTTGTGTTTGATAAAATGTAGCATACAAACAAATATTTTAAATGATCCTTTTTTGTATAACTAGTTTTCCTGGAAACGATGAAATTACATGATAAATGAAATATATGAATGAGTTGCCAAAATTCTGTAAAAAAAAATTTCAAAGTTTCAAAAAATTTCGAACGAAAGTACCTGCTTAAAAAATAAAAAAAGGAAAAAATTTGATTTTTCTTAAAGTTCGAATAATTGGTATTCCGAAACTACACAAAATACATAATCAGTAAGATATATTTTTTAAGTCCTTTACTAGATCTTTCATAAACGGTTTGTTTGAAGCCCCTATCTTTTTCCGAACGGAAGTTATAATTTTAACGGAAAATTGTTAAAATCCCTGTATCTGGAAAACCCTTGAGATTTCGCACCTACTCCGGAACAAAAGTTTTACCCATTTTCGACACTCTAACCAATGGTATATGTTGTTGTATACCTTTCTGACACCCTGTGTAGTGAAGATTTGATTACCAAAAAAATATATGAAGACCGCTGAATGCCGATGCCGATGCCGCTGAATTCATTAAATAAAATAAAATATTAGCGTGAATTATTTATATTCTTAGATTTTTTGTTTTGGAATGAATTATTATGTGAAGCTCAATTAATGAATAAGGAAGAATAAAACAACATACCATCTACTTCTATGAGTAATAACCATCATATTAAGTAAAATTTGTTAAAAATTGTACTATTTTAGAGTCATTAAAATTGATATGTATTTATATTTATTCTTATTAATATTGTTAAGTTGTTCAGTAAAATTATGAAACAAAACTGATTATGTAAGATTTTTTAAACAAAATATGTTCATTTTTGCAATCATATTATATATTTGCAACCTATAAAATAAATAAATTGAAAGAAAAAAAGAGTAATGAGTTTTGTTTAAATTTGTTTTTTTTTTCACAGATTAGATATCTAAAAGTAATGAAATAATATTTTAAAATATTTTTTAGTTTTTACTTTAAAAAAATTTTTTTAACTTATCCTTCTTACAAATTACACATATTATATAGTAGAGACCAGACAAGAAAATAAAATAAACACGCTCCTCCTTCGACTTTGACAATGCTTGCAGCAAAGAAAGAGAAAACTAGAAAAAATTTCGCTTCAATGTTTTTTCAAGATGCTCCTTAGTTTAGTATTAAAAATTCGTTGTGGTACATTATGTAGATCACTTTTAATTTTGTTACACTCCGCGCATTGCATTCTTTCGCTTAAATAACTTTCGAACAAACTCCCTGCACATTCATACAATATTTTTAAAATTATTTACAAGTTTTTCTATCGAGAAATACAATCGCAACAATTTTTTTTCATCGATTCTTCATTGTATTTCTGAAACCACTTTTTATTAGCTTAGAAAGAATTTCATCTGCGCCTACTGCCTCTGAGTTCGAGAATTTAGCAAAAATTTCTTTTGTTTCATATTCATTCATTAAGTTAAATTTAAATTCATTTTCTGTTCTATTCTTCGGAAAGTATATACCAGGGGTGGCCAGACTTGGTCATGGTAAGAGCCAAAACTCAAAATTTTGAATTTTTTGCGAGCCGCAATGATATAAATTATAAATTATGTAATATCTGGTTGAAAATGTCTTAGTCCTACAAATAAAAAAGAGTTAGAATTAAAGAAAAAAATATGATATTTTTATACTTTACTGGTTGATGTGGCTTGGTGTGTATTACAAATTTATGAAAATCTGGCTTATAATTTGTGAATGCCGTACGTATAAGCTCAGTCAAATGTTCATTTGTTAGCTGCGACCGGTGCTTGGACTTAATAAATTTGATTGTAAAATATAATGATTCGCAGCAATATGTTATGCCGAACATTGAAATTAACTTACTCAGTAAATATTGTGGAAATATGAAGTCTTCACCAATAATATCAATGTCAAATGGATTTACAAGAAAATTTATACAAATTTTAAATTTTTTTAAATCTTGAAATCGTAAATTAAAATTCTCCATCAACTCCTGCAATCTATCCACATATTCTTTAAGCTTTTAATTTTCTATTTCCGACTTTTTCTTTCAATCTCGGAAAATGATTGAAATTCATTGTCATTATATCATTTTTAAAAAGTAGCATTTTTTTTGAAAATTAAAGATTGTTTGCGTGAGATCAGAAATAGTTTTCTGCTGACCCTGCAAATCTAAGTTGAGTGATTAAGAATTTAAGCTTTGACAATATATACAAATTATTTTTCCATATGTTAAGTAAGCGTTGACAAAATTAAAAAGTGTGGGAAAAGATATACTCTACTGCATTTTACTGTCAAATTTCTATAAAAAGAACTTTTTTCGGGAATATTTTTTTTCGACTTGAGCTGCACTAAAAATATTTGTTAATTTTTTCTTCGAGAGCCGCAGTTTGGCCATGTTTGGTATATACTGTCAAATTTTTTTGCCATTTTTTCATCAACTGTACCTGTAATATTATGAATTAAAGTTATAAAATTTATTAAGTTTTTTTGTTTCATTGATGTTCAAATTTGGGAAAAAATCATTTTTTCATGTGTTTGACCAATTTATTATTTGTTTAACCGCATTCTAACTCTTTTTTGGGTCGCCTTCAGCTTGTTGAAATTTTTACAATCATATTTTTCAATTTTTTCTTCTTTTACTATTATCTAAACCAGTACTTGTACTTCGATTTGAGATACTCAAAACTTTCATTCTGCATTTATACGTTACTTTTTCTTTCAATTAGTTTAGCACGCTCGTCATCTATCCATTTGACAAATTCTTTTTGACAACGGTAGCTTTGTTTACCATACTTTTCACGCTAGATGTTCCCTCAACTACTATGTTATTATGACAGCATATTTACTTAACTCATTTTTGACATATTCCAAATGAATATTTTTGATCAGCTGTTCATCTCTTTTATTATTATTTGTTTTGTAAATTCTTAATTTTCACGATCATACCAAGATGATAAAAAAGAGAAATGTGTACTTCAGTATTAGAATCATTCACTAATATATGGTTAAGGCCAGTATTTGAAATTGGTTTAGTTATCTCTTTGCTACATAAATCAAAACCATTGAAATCTACTACAGACAATTATTTTTGCACATTTCTATCTATATCATTAATAATGTTAAAGTTGAAATCACCTAAAACAATTGAATTTTGGTTTTTTGGGTACTCTAAATGTGAATCCACCTTTTGAAAAAAATATCTCAACACAGTTTGTAGACTTTTTAGAAGGTCTGTATTTTGTCTGTATATAGTCGAAATGGTAAAACATCGTTTTTCTAACTTGATATACATATATGCTCACAATACTATCGTATTCATCATTAAAGATATCTTGCACAGAATACCGCAAGTTGTCATGGACAACCAGCACAGCCGACCCTTGTTTTCGTGCATGATAGAATTTTACTACAATTTGTAATATGTATGTATTTACTAATATCCACTAAATCTAAATCTAATATCCACTTTTCGGTAACAACAATTATGTGTACCATATAATTAAGCGCATCTAATAAAAATTTTAAATCATCTAATTTGTGTTTTAAGCTTTGCGCATTTAAATAAAGGATTTTAATTGCCTTTTTTTTCCAAGATTACTTCTTTTATGTTATAATACGTTTTGACATAAAACGTAAATCATATGAAACTTCATTCAGTATTTAACCTTTTGCACTCTAACTACCATTTATTTTGTAATTATTTCTAGTTAAAACATGATATTATAGCTGATAACGTTACTTTTTTAACATTAGACATGTTCTCTCTCTGTTCTTTGTTGTTTTGTATGCATTTGCGATCTTAACGATTTATTATTTCACAAGTTGAGCTGGTCCTGGAAGAAAAAGGACAACTTTCTATTGTGATACATGTACAAGAAAACCCGGTATACATGTAGCCGACTGTTTCATGAATTATCATACTAGAAAAGTTTATAAGAAATTATTATTTTGCTAAATTAATTTACTTAATATACGAATAAATTTTTATATTATTAATCAATATTTAAACAATTTAGAGATGTGTAATACAATTCTACAAAAACTTCATCAAAATGGTTTGTTTCCGTTTATGTTATAAAAAATATGTCAACCAAATTAAATATTTTGAATTTGAATTTATTTTTAGATATATTCAAGTTATCTAAGTCTTTGAGTTAATTCTCGTTAATAAAAAATCATTTTTCCAAAAACTGCAGCACTTTTTTAAAGTATTGTGATTACAAAATATTTCCTAAAAGTCCTTGGAGTTAAGTACCAACCGCAAAAAATGCACAGAACGCAAAGGGTTAAATTCGATTTTTGTAAAACCCTTATTATTTTTGATTTCGCCGACTTTCTGATAAATAATTTGCCATTCTTCACCCTCACGAATTCTTTTGAATTCTTCCTAGCTCTTTTATGAAACAAACTGAAGTATCCTGTTAGTTTTACATTGATTAAAATAGGACAATTTATATTTGAATTTCTAATTGTTGTAAGGGTGTATATTTAAGTATGTACATGCGTGTATAAGCAATATTAATAACAGCAGATTTAGACATTACAAATCTGCAAAAAGAAAATATTCAGCTCTTGAAGATTTATAAGTATGCGTAAAAAGATTTTGAAGATTTAATTTAGAGTTTTCAGTGCATGTCTGAATTACTAATTGACCGATCTTTACTCATGTTTGCGTTTTTTTTTTTACTTTGCTGTATGAAAATCTTGATAGATCTGAGAAAAAATGAAAACTCGCATCAATTTTTCATATCTAAAAATTTTACACAGGATTGCCAATCTGATTATATGTACATAATATGTACATGGTTTTTGGCTTTATATATAGGCTATTTTTGTTTTCGTTTATTATAACAGGAAACAACAATAAATTAAAGTATTTTAAAAAGCTTTAAAAGCAACTATTTGCTTTGATTTGTAATATGCTGTTTGAGATAAAAAAACGCAAATAAATATACTTTTACAAAATTATAATATGTGATACATAACTAAAAAAAATATATTTGATATAGGGATCTTCATTCACATATAAGTACACATCCTTTTTATGCAAAATTAACTTGAAAAATAAACAATACGCATTGGAAATCAACTTACCCTCGATGAAATTTAGCATCCGTTTACAGCTGAGCAAACCATGTTTGATTTGATTCGTTATATAGTTCATCATCTTCGATCTTTTGCAAAAAGAAAGTAAAACATTTTACAATGGCATTAACATTTGTAAAACTAAAATAATATCAAATTTATTCATCCGTTTTGAAAAGTTTATTTTTGTTTTCTAATTGTCAAAATAATTGAGTCACTATGTCAACGCAAAATGATTACTTGCCGGATCCGTGTAAATTCCATTTATAGATCAAAAATCTATTGTGAATGACACAAATTGTTGTTTTGGATAAAAATAATCAAATTGAGTCGCCTACACTTAGTTCGGGCACGGTTCAAGCAAAATCCACGAAAAATGGCCAATTTGCATTGCAAAAACACCTCTCACGGCACTAATGTGCACTTTCCAACACTAACAACCTCTTTCAAAAATAAGGCTACTTTCATACAAAAAATAAGTTCTTAATATACTGTTTTTTATATTTTTTCCAAAACGCTTAATTTTTTATCCTTTTTTGTTAATAAATTAGTAAATGGAATAAAAAAATAAAATAATAATCTAAATAAAAAATAAGAAAAAGTAAGAGAAAAAAAGGGCATACTATGATAATGAATTAAAAAGTAAATATCAAATGTAAGGTATGTATGTATGTATACAAATTTATAATACAATATTTTTTTTCATATTGTGATGTGTATGTATATTTGATATGTATAAAAGAGTACTCATATTAAACAGTGTATAAAAGTTGTTTTGTTAATAATATTATTTTAATTTCTTTCTTTCTTTCTTTAATAATAAAACAATAAAAAAATTCAAAATTACTTTTTTTTAATGTTAATTATAAATTACAGGTAACAGGTATGAATTATAAGTGTGATATATTACTTTTTGAACAAAAATTACTGAAAAAGACTACGTTATCATTTTCACAATATTTAAAGTTTTTTTTAGTTTTGTAAAGTAAAATATAATGTTTTAAAATCTTGTAGTTTTGAAAATATATATTCTTCCTTTGTACTGTCTATGTTTGATAAATATTTTAAAAATTGACGTAACTTATATATACTTACACCAGACGGTTTTCCGTTGAAACAACTTTTAAAAGTTTTATAAAATACATCAAGTCCTAAAATATTTATCAAACATAGGCAATACAATAGAAGAACATATCTTCACAGCTAAAAGTTTTTAAAACTAATGTCTATTAACAAGTCCTAACGCAATACATACGCAATTTTTTTACGAAGTATTTCGACTTGTTGCCTTCGTTCCAGTGCTGTCCTTTTTGCTGCAATTGCAAATTCTGCTTTAATTTACCACCATTTACTGCAAACCAGCAATTTGTTTCCATTTACTGCTATTTCAAGAAACAATTTTTTTTTGGTTATTTTGTTTTATTGTCAATTTGAAGTTTTTAATCGAAATTTCACAAAAATGATTCAAAAAAAATTATAAGCACCAACACTGAATTTTTTAAATAGTAAATTTGTCAAAAAAAGCATATGTAGGAGACTAGGTATTATTATGTCACGGAAATTCTACCTAAATAACGACGTACAACTTATGTACATTTTCTGTCAAAATAATTTTAAACTTGTATATTTTAATGTATAACGAAATGCGTGACGTACTGTACCTCCAGCTTTTAAAATATAAAAGCAAGACGTACAAAAATTTTTCTAAAAAAAATTTACAAAACTTGTTCTCTTTTTGAAATTATTGTCTTTTCTAAAAAAATATATATTTTTTTTATTAATACATTTATTTCAAAGTAGACTATTGGTCCATAAATATAATATTTTTAAATTCGTGTAGCAATTTCGATGTGCGTTGGGCGGTTGGCGTATTAGCATAGTGGCGAATAAAACTAGTACGTTGTTACGGCGTCATTTAGGTGGGCCCTAATATGTACAGTTTGGTTGACCTTTAATTGACATTCGGCTTTTCATTACACAATGAATATTTCAAATATTGGGGACCGGATTTTTATATCCTTTATTTTTATACCTTTGTACGAATGTACATATGTTCGAAGGGTATACTAAATTTGCCTTACCGTTCGTAACGCTCAGAAATAATGGTCTGAGATTTAGACTCAAGTGTATGTTTTTGATCAGCGTCGAATTCTGAGTCGATTTAGCTATGTCTGTCCGTTCTTCTCAAGGATAATTCAAAAATTAATTGAGTTAAGTTCACCATATTTTAACAAATGATTTATTAAAGTAAATTCCAAAACCCTATTTAAATTGGATACGTTATGGGGTACTTGTTTGGGTAGCTGCCATACAACTTCAAAATTTATTTGGCTATATCTTGGAAACTATAAAAGCTTTGGTATTGAAATTTCACACAAGTGAATATATTAGTAGGGTCAATGTTTTCGGTAAAATTAGTTGAAATTGCTTGGAAGTTGAAATTTCTGGTAGCTGCGATACAACTTCAATAGTAGTTTGGCCATATCTTAGAAAATATTGACAACACAATACTGAAATTTTGTATAGATTTTTTTTTTGTCCTTTGTTCACTCCTAGAAGGAGCATAGGGCTAGTGCATGATTTCTCATGCACTAGTTTCATAGCGTCATAGGGTTTAGTTAGGTGACTAGCCTGCTGTAGTTTTTATTTATATATTAATTATTTGAGGTTATTAATATTTACTATTTATTTTTCTTAGTTTTTTTTAATATCGAATATTAGGAATATTTGAAAATTACTTGTATAATATTTTTATTAGTATTGTATATTAAGTTATAATAATATTGAATATAATTTTTATAGTGACCTGACCGGGGTTTGAACCCGAGACCCTTCGGTTAAAGGACCGGTGCCATAACCACTGCACCAATGGTCAGATGTTCATTTAGATTAGTGGATCGCATATTTTATATTTGCATACAGATTCATTAAAAAGCGTGTTCATATTGAAACTCAAAGCGAGGTGGGTAAAAAGAAATTAAAATTCAACCGAGTGCAATAAGTAATTTGAGTTAATTAACGTATAATATCGTAATAAAATTGCAAAACTTTACATACATATATCTATAAACCATGTGGAGCAACGCATTATCTGAATCAGATTCAGAAGATCAACACCCAGCAAAAAAAAGAAATATGTTAAAAAAATTTAGACATGACTGGAAAACTGAATTTCCACGGAGTGAGAATAAAGAAAACAAAAGTTTTTGTACTTGGTGTGAATAATTTTAAGTAAATAATGTTGGTATTTGAAGACGATACAGTTAAAAAATCAACCTAAAGTATCAGATAAGTATATCTAACACTCAAGAATTTATTAAAAAAACTAACCATATACTCGTAAAACAAGCTGAACTAAATATTAGAATGTTGATCATTGAAAATAAATTTTCCATTTTCATTGATTTCATCCTTAATTTTAGTTTTTCTTTTATGCAATTCAAATTAAAGATGAATTCAAATAAATGTTTAAAAAAAGTTAATGGCATTTTTAGTTTTTGATCTCAAAGTATAGCTTTTCGACATTGAAAATATCAACAGATCAAGCCATATTTAAATATTATTATATTTTTATCATTATTATCAATGAATATAATAATTGTATAGATAATTAATAATTTTATATTAACAATTTCTTGTTATTCATACACTTTGTTGTACTGATCCATATTACAAAAAATTTTTTTTAGGTAAAAAAGAGTTAAATATATCAAAAAATCTATAAAATCTATAAGGTTTTTAAAAATATTTTTAAGAAGCTTCCAATTTAAATTCTATTGAACGAAAAAGAAAGAAAGGTAAGAACTGCAGTTTTCCCACTCGGTAAAAACAAAATGTACCCAATTTCGAGAAAAAAATGTATCCAAAATGTATCCAGCCTCTTAAAGTAGAATTATTGTACTAAGTTGTCTTATTTTACACAAATAAACTCAAAAATAATATTAATTTCCTTTATTCAACAATGTGAGTTTCGTAAATTCTTTAAGATATTAAACGCAATTTCTATTGCATTTTAAAAGTTATGGTCAGAAAATATATGTTCTGTAGCTGTTGAACTATGTATGCGATAAAAACGATTCACCATGAAAACGGACAAATTTTATTTAGTCAGCAAATAACATTTTCTTGAAGATAAAGCAATTTCGCGATTTATTATTATTAGTACTTTAAAAATTTTGTATGATTTATCTAGTGTTCGAGAAAGAAATGTATCCATATTTCAGCAAAATTTTAAAATGTGGCCAATTTCTACGTTTTAGCAAATTAGAGTATCTTTTTATCTAAGCTAAATTTTAAAGCAAAACTGTATCCAAATGAATACAATTGTATTCAAGTGGGAACGCTGGTAGGAAAAAAAGAAAAAATTAAAAAATTTTTCAAATTCATATTTCAAACAAAGTATATCTACTAATAAGTAATTCGACTCGTTCCATTCCGTTAGTTTTCGTTTGCATCTTACTTCCAAATTCTTAAAATATTCCATTTTTTTTTAGAAATAGATGGTAATAAGAGTTGTGTAGGCAAGAAAGAAACAAAATATTGTAAACAAACGAGTGTATCAAAAACATTGAACTAAAATAAAATTAAATTAAGTTAGGTAAAAATTTTGTTATTTTTATTTTGATAATAACAAAATTTATTTTTGAGTTTATTAAAGTTAGGTAAAAAATTCGAATGTATGAAAACAAAAGAGTTTGAAATTTCATGAATGTACACATTTATGTACCTGGTACAGTAGATACAAGGTATCAGGTAGTGACATAGAAATAAAGTAATTTATAAAGAAAAAAAGTGTATGCATACTGATTAATACTTTATGAAATATAATTATTCATGGGAAATATGTTCTAAATTTATTAAGATTGAAATAAAAATAAAAAATTTAAAGATAATTTTTTTTATTTCATTTATTAATAATTATTAATTACAATGCTTAAAACTAAATATTTAAACTATTTTCAAAATTACATACATATTTACCTCTCCACATCTTTTGGCAACAAATGAAATTTCGTGTCGGCTTTTTTTCATCCCAAACACTTCAAATAATGCTTACCCATTTTTATAAAAAAAATATTTTTTTTCACAACTATTTCAATTTTTTTTTTATATTATACGTCTTTTCAAAATTTATTTTTATTATTTTTTAAAATTATATTATATAAATTATAATAATTTTT